CCCCAGAATAACTTCATAGCAACTACTAAAAAACACCCAAAACACCCTAGTAACTGCATAGCGACTACTAAAAAACACCCAAAACACCCTAGTAACTGCATAGGAACATGCAAAAAAAGAAAAAACAACAACAATACCCCAGTAACTGCATAGCAACTTACTAAACAAATACACCCAGAACACCCTAGTAACTACATAGCAACATATAAAAAACACCCTAGCAACTGCATAGCAACATATAAAAAACAATACCCCATAATAACTTCATCGCAACTACTAAAAAACACCCAAAACACCCTAGTAACTGCATAGCAACATATAAAAAACAATACCCCATAATAACTTCATCGCAACTACTAAAAAACACCCAAAACACCCTAGTAACTGCATAGCAACATGCAAAAAAAGAAAAAAAAAACAATACCCCAAGTAACTGCATAGCAACTTACTAAAACAATTCACCCAGAACACCCTAGTAACTGCATAGCAACATGCAAAAAAAAAAAACCCACCTCAGTAACTACATAGCAACTTACTAAAAACCACCCAGAATGCCCTAGTAACTGCACAGCAACATGCTTAAAACCCCCCGGAACCCCCTAGTAACCACATCGCACCGTCCTAGCAACCACCCAGAATTACAAAGTAGCCAAAATGTAAACACATCTACCTCTATTTAACATTTCAATAAACACTCCAGCACTTAAAAACACCAGCTGTATGGGTTCATAAACCCACTGTGTGCTTCACAAATGCATTTGCTTTCATATAAAGCCGGTCGGAAGGCTGAACACGTAAATAGTCAGCGTTTGGCTTCAAACTGTCAATCACACAAAGGAAATTGGTTTATGTATGAACAAGTGGTGGAAATGTCAACGTCTTACTTAAGGGCAGAGTGTCATTCAAGACGGCTGCTCTTCTGTCACGCAACATTCGCAGTATCAAGCGTGTTGTAACTGATGCACAATGCCGACACCTGTGCAGCCAATTTTCGTTAAAAACGTCAGGGGCAGGTGTGCGTGAGTCATACGCCATACATCCAGCTGGGCACGGTGAACGCCGATGCTTCCAGACACGTCAAGAGTCTGTTTGACACACGGGGGAGGGACTCGACAGTGAACTCCAGAAGTTAAAAAGAGACGAAAGCGAGCGCTGAGGGCACTAGAGACCGGAGTGATCGGCGTTTCAAAAACGGTGTCAAGCGCTGATATGCGAAACAATGACGGCTGTTATTAAACACAGATTCTGCGGGCCTGATATCTTTGGCAAGAAAAATGGTTTAGTTGGCACACAGAGTCTGATTCAGGGAACATGGTAATGACTCACACCTGTTTAGGAGTCACCACCGCGGCTAAATGAGGCTGGAACGTGCTCCGTCTATCCGTGATTGTCTCCCCGTGTTTAATCAGTGGCAACTCTTCATCTACAACAAAAAACAAACAACAAAAGCAAATAAAAGCAGTCCTTTGAATGACTGGCGAGCCACTAATGACTAATTAACTGGGATCGCTTTACACAAGACGTGCCTGTCATCTGTACTTTGAACCTGACCTGACACTTTACTTTCTCGAAGCTCAAGTGCTTGCAGAACTTCCCACTTTTCATGATCTAATCAATTTCGTGTTGATAAAATAAAACGAGTCACGGACAATGGGTCTCATTTACTAAGCATGTATACGCTAGGGATGCAACAATACAGCTAGCCCGCGGTTCAATACATACCTCGGTTTTTAACCACGGTTTTTGGTTCTGATGGCTTGGCACATCAGAGTGTTTTTTGCAACAAATTAATAACAAAAAACCCCTGTAAACTTCTGTACACTGGAAAAAAGCATGGATTATTATATGTCTACTTAAAATGTCTTTTGACAGGCATTATTTTTCCGATTTTACCCCAAAATAGGATGGTTTGGCCATTATTGAGCGCTATAAACTAGGGGTGTGCGATATTGACAAAAAATTATATCTCGATATTTTCTGGGATTTTATCGATGACGATAATTAGACGATATTTTGCTGAGTGTGTTATTGTGCTGATATCTTAAGGACTGCCGAAGACAGCTGACTCATAATGTTTTTAATATTCTTCATATTCTGTGTGGTGGTCAGTTCATACTGATAGAAATGAATCTTTTCCAATAAGTTTAAACCGATTTTTACATTTTATGGGCATTTTTACCTTTATAAAGCCATTTTTTCTAGAAGTGTCCATTATCTTTTGAGTCAAATTCTTACATTTAATCAGGGAATTAGAATAATAAGACATTTGGGCTGTTACCGAGCAAATGAAATCAACACAGAAGCTGCATCTGAAGTGGCATTTAGATGTATTTACACACATGTATTTTGTTTAATGCAAGACATGAATGCAGTTAACCTGCAATTAAAATTGCATAAATAATGTTTTGATATATTAAACATAAAACGTTGAATACTGATATTTGAAATGATTTAAAACATGAAAAAAAAGAAAAAAAAAGAAAAGAAAGAAAAAGCCGAAAT